TGTGTGAAACTCAGTTCTTGTGTACCGTGCGGTTATGTTGCTTTGATAAATCATCCTCACTAACTCCAGATGATTCATGTTCTTGTCTTTCAAATGTACCAATAGTTGTCAAGTGCCTGTGGTTGTATGTCCTGACCTTCATGTCCCTTACTCTAGGTGACCATGAAGACATGTTTTATCATGGTCCACAATGTAATGCTTGTTGTTGCTTTGTTTCATGTTAAACCCACCATAGGTGTCCAATGTAAGTTTCTTCACGAAACGTCAAAGTATTCAGGTCTCTGTAGAGGCAAGTAGCAAGCACCTCTACAGTATCACTTAGATACTATCAAACCTGAGGTGCTGCATAATAGCAAGGTGTGTCCACTAGCTACCAGGTTCCGCTGGAAATGGGATACGACTGACCAATCAGCTATTGTATCCCACTGACCTAATAACTATTGTCATTGGATCCCATTGACCAATCAACTATTGTCATTGGATCCCATTGACCAATCAACTATTGTCATTGGATCCCACTGACCAATCAACTATTGTCATTGGATCCCATTGACCAATCAACTATTGTCATTGGATCTCATTGACCAATCAACTATTGTCATTGATTCCCACTGACCAATCAGCTATTGTCATTGGATCCCATTGACCAATCAACTATTGTCATTGGATCCCATTGATCAATCAACTATTGTCATTGGTTCTCACTGACCAGTCAGCTATTGCTGTCTATCATTGGATCCCACTGACCAATCAACTATTGTCATTGGATCCCATTGACCAATCAACTATTGTCATTGGTTCCCACTGACAAATCAGCTATTGTCATTGGATCCCATTGACCAATCAACTATTGTCATATATTCCCACTGACCAATCAGCTATTGTCATTGGATCCCATTGACCAATCAACTATTGTCATTGATCCCATTGACCAATCAACTATTGTCATTGGATCCCATTGACCAATCAACTATTGTCATTGGATCCCATTGACTAATCAACTATTGTCATTGGATCCCACTGACCAATCAACTATTGTCGTTGGATCACACTGACCAATCAGCTATTGTCATTGGATTACACTGACCAATTAACTATTGTCATTGGATCACACTGACCAATAAACTATTGTCATTGGATCCCATTGACCAATCAACTATTGTCATTGGATCCCACTGACCTATCAACTATTGCTGTCTGGCATTGGTAGGGTAACAAGATTGTCATTGATTGATGGATATTACTTAAAAACCCTGTTAAGCATGAAATTATGGCAGTATATATAAATTTTGTCCTTAATTGATTAAGCCTTGGTTAACTACCCTTATATCCGTAAATTCAATCAGTATGTTTATTCATACATACATATTTAGCGTCCTGGTGAGATTAACTGTTCAAGTATATTTAGTAAGCACACAACTATATATTGCCAACCTTCCTTGGCCATTCAGGGTACAGTGTACACTGTAGTTCCCTGATGGGTAGCTTGTATGTTGTAAGGAAATAGTGTACACACCCTTCAATGGCTATATTTGAGGGGGACGTATTATCATCGTGATGAGAGGTATCAAAGAACCCCTTCTAGATCCGGGTTAGAATTGGTTTTCAGCAAACTAGGCGACGACCGGGTGGCCAGGCTTACTTGTTTGGTTTATCAGTGTATCACAATTGTGTAGATCAATGCTCATGATGTCAATCAGTGGATTGTCTGGTCTAGACTTGATTATGTACAGACCACTGTCATATTACTGAGTGCCGACACTCAGGCAGACAACGTAACTCAGAATAAGTAAAAACAAACACAAAGGGTTTTTTTACCTTTTACCAACTCTTATCTGTTATGGGCATGCTAATCTGTGACACAATTATTGTTTTCGTTTTGTCTTTAGCGTATGTTTCCATCGACTTGTTCCATTCCTCATCAAAGGTGCACTTTTCAAATATTTCTTACTTAGAAGTAGGGTCGCAAGTAGAACTTGATAGTTTTTAGTTTGTTTACATAGTTTATTATTTTTAGATATTGTGTTGACTTCTGCGATATTTATATGTCCATATTACTGTCAGATGTCTCAAACGGTACCTGTCCTGTATGGTGTTTTATGGGTATGTTTGAATAAATTGTTTTTCATGATAATAACAGTTGTGGCCATTTCCTTTTTTCGGTCACCTCGTTCAGGTGATGCTGAATGCGTGTCGTGATGTCTCAATAGAGATTTTCCGTCACTGGTTTGACGATCCCGTCCTCGGCTCGGAGTCAGTATACGGTGTCTGAGTTTGATTCCCATGTTCAACTGCAATGACACTATAAAACCAGCACAAGTCCGGACCAGTAGTACAAGCAATCATATACACGTGCATGCACGGCACTATATAACTGCAATAATTTTGAATGTGACATGTAACCTCACTTCATCTCTGAAATGTATTTATGATTTCACCAGTGAAGATACGGGTTTGAATTGGTCTTTAACAACCCATGTGTGTTGTAAGTGGTGACTAAAGGGATCGGGTGGTCAACCTCGCTGACATGGTTGATGCATGTCATCGTATCCCAACTGCGTAGGTCGATGCTTATGATATCAATCACTGGATTGTCTGGCTCAGTCTCAATTATTTACAGATCGCCGTCATATAGCTGGAGTGTGGCGTTAAACAACCAACACATATTTAGGATTTTAACGGGCCCTTCATTCATAAACAGTATGAAACCCCCAAAATACTGCATTTGGGGATTTTCGTTCATGAGAAATGGCGTAGATTGTTTATGAGGAAGTTTATGTTCTGTCTTGATAAATTTGCTTCCCCGAATTAAGTTTGCTTAAATCAAGTTACCAGCGTCATCAACCTTTTCACATTCGTCACCATTCGCATCTTTTGGTAACCTGCAAGTCGCCATTCGGCTAAGGCCGCAATGACGAGTGATCACGAATTCTCTTATCAGTAAATTAACACAGAAGTGGGTTCATCCTCATGAGCTTCATCTTCCCGAGGCAAGGGAGTTGTCTGACTATAAAAGTCCAGTTTTCACTTTTATGGTCAGTTAACTTCCTTTGCCTCGGGAAGATAGATGAGCTTGCAATCAACTACCTCTTCTGAACCAAAGGGTTTGAATCCCGGTTCTTCCCGATTATGTTTCTGGTTTTGTCAGCATAATGCCAGTGCTCGTTGGTTTCACCAAAGTGGTAAATGTCTGAGAGGTGCACCACTTCAGGCTTTTCTTCCAACGGTAAGCTGTATTGCCGTGACATAACTGGAAAACTGTTAAAAGCGGCGTTAAACCCACACACTCTGAACGAGAGTTCGGTACAGATCCACATTCGGGTGGTCAGGCTCTCTGACTTGGTTGATGCATGTCATCGTATCTCAATTGCGCGGATCGATGCTCATGATATCAATCACTGGATTGTCTGGTCCAGACTCGATTATTTACAGACCGCCGTCATATAGCTGCAATATCGCTGAGTGCGGCGTTAAACAACAAACCAACCATAAACAACATTCAAAATCGCGGCCACATCCGAGTGAGTCCGCGAATCACAAGAGTGTTATCAACCATTTTCTTTGCTGGAGTTTTCCTGAGTACTAAGACTGGGAGGAAGTCCTGATGCTACAAGACACATTCCGGTTGTGTTTGCGGCGTCTCGCAAGGCCTACAGCAGGACAACGCAATGGGATCAATCCGTTATACCCCCATTCCACAGAGAATTTTGGCTCATCGGTCACTCATCGGAAGCAAAGTTTTATACTTCTGGTAACCCACCGAAGAGTATCGTATCACACTCAGATGAATCCGATTTGTGTTTGTCGACTGTCAGGTCAGTGTCCGACGTGTCGGATGGGATCCGATGAGGCGAAATCGTCCGATGAAGGAACTAAGCTCAGAGCTTAGTTCGCCATCGGACGCCATTTCCGGTCGCAAATCGAGTCAGTGTCGGATGAATGTCGAGTCAGTCCGATGTGTGTCAGAATCGTGATGTGCAACTATCGGACGTGTCTAGCCGACGTCTGACGGCAATCTGATGAGTGTCCGATAATTAACAGTGGACTGACGCTCATCTGATTGCAATCTGCGGTGTGCCCTACGCGCCTGATAGCCGCCCATCACCAATTCGATTCTCATCGGAGACATCGTTGTGACGTTGTGAGGGTGATCGCTCATTAACTCAACTGCCATCCGACACATATCGGACTACGAAAGGAAGGTCAGCCGACACTCACTTCGCAGATTTTCATCGGACACTACAGCACCAAGATCCTGAAGATGGCTCCAAGAAAGAACAGACATGTTGGAGGACAGAAGGCAAAGAAGAGACCTCCCAGCACTCCTCAACAATCTCGAGTGCCAGAAGACTCCTCTGTGCCTCCTCCTGAAGATGCAGAGACGGAGGATAGGCCTATTCAGGCCCCAATCACTGCTCAGCCACACGTCTCTCCCTGCATCTTGTTGCATAGTTTGTTGCTGGAGCATAAAAACACAGCCCAGGGCTGCAGCGTTGCAAAGAAGTTGATCCATGTCTAGTACTGTCAGGAGGTGCAGCCCGCTTTTATACTCGACTGACGATTTTGGGGACAAATCCGACCAGTATTGGCTCAGGGTCCGATTACCCACGAATAGTAACCGATGTGTCGGGAGAGTGTTGGAAGTGTCAGATTAGTGTCAGGTCACCCTCGATTTACAATCCGACCGCAATCGGATCAATCGGACGCCGCCGATGAAAATGGCGGACAGACATCGTGCCGCTACCAGTCTTTCATCCGATTACCCCGATCAATGTTGGATCTCTATTGGATTTTACGGAAAACGGGGACCCAAAAAAGAGGATGTCGGGTGAATTTTCATCGGAACTCATTGGGACGATGAATTTTTTGCAAAATTGGGATCAGATGGGCTTTAGATCAGGTACCGATGGTCAGTGGAATGGGGGTATTACCCATCACCTTAAATCAGGTTTTTATGAAAAAAAACCAACCTGCACTAAATGTTCAAAACACAAACACCATTTGACTGTTTATAGAAAATGATGTAATTCGGCCCTTTCTACAAAGCTATTGCTATGCAATATATACATAGTGCATGTTTGACGTGTGGGTCCTTGATGACAGTCGGTCCATAAAACCCAGTAATCATCCCTGACTTTACTACTCATTGGCTGTCGATCCTCCTATATGGAACCGTACGGAACACTGAATTGGTCGACGACGTACTGACGTTTACAAACGACGTTGCAGTGACTGTTCAACATGCCCCCAATGACTTCTCTTGTCTGTCCCCAGGCAAACACCGTCACTTGAATCCTACCATTACGCGCCTCCTCCATCTGACTATATTTTTCTGTGTACACCGCGTGCGCAAGCCACCACAATGTATATAAATCTGTAGTGAGGTTCATTTCATGTGATTGGTTGACGTATACCTTCAGGAGATTGGTGACCTCGAAAAGAGCGTGCATGCAAGGCGGGCCGATAAACTTTCGTTTGTTTTCCTCAAGCACATCTCCCCAGACGATGTCTTCACCGTTGACAACGTCCTTCAAATTGCGCAGACGCGCACGAGCTTTTGGACTGACCAAAGACAACGCAATGTCAAAAAATTGAAATTCAAAGTCAGGGCCTTCCTGTGATACACGTGCATAAAGCATGCTCAGTGTAGAATTTGAAGATGTCAAATTGTTTTTCCCACTCTCGTGTTGTACATGCTCGCAAACAGCGGGACACTTGAGCACGTTGGTCGGTTTCGATGGAGTCGGATACAAATGTGAACTCTGAACTGTACACATGACTATCGCCATCACGAGCAGGAATCGGGAAGAAGTAATGGCCGCCATGAGCTTGTACCTGGAACTGAAAGTTAATAAGTATGTTAAATACCATTCGTTGTGACAAGCGTGGTTCAGGTGATATCGACGTTAATATGTTACCTTTGATTACTGTCCTGGATATACTCTCACTAGTGTCGACAATATCCAGGTTACGTCCTCTTACCATGGACACCGTTGAACTGTGTGTACCGTGGCGTTGTGTGTGCCTTCCTGATGATAACCCACATTTGCGACGGTTTACTGGGGGCTTACTCAAAAGTATTGCCATCAATATTTTTACCTGTTTGGCCGTACTGCAACTCAGACGTTTCAACTCCATCAGACTCATACATTCTTTCAACATGTACGTCAATATAACGGACCTACGTGTATAGTAAACTACGGTTATAACGAACACGGTTATAACGAACTGACGGATATAACGAACTTACTTTTTTGGTCCCGACCATTGGCTGTAGTTATGCTGTATATATGATTATAACGAACAACGGTTATAACGAACTAAAATTAGTAGTCCCTTGGAGTTCGTTATAACCGTAGTTTATTGCGTTTCGTGGGTTGTATCCGTAAAGTATAACCAATGGCCCGGACTCAAGTTGACTCTTGTCATAGAAACATAAATAAACGTACGGTGTTTGAGAAGGTCCCCGGACACGTCCCCGGCGACTCTGGTTGATATCCATTGTCGATGTCTTAATTCAACACATGCAGTTAAACGATAAAATAATCGGTACATGTTTTCTATGCTGTTGGTTGAATGTTGTCCGCCTAATATTATATCGTCATAAATAAATAATAAATTATGGTTTTTGGAAGCTGCACACAAACTCTTATTTCCCTGTTGTTCATGATAAAGTTTGTTTAATAGACTGAGTAGGTTAAAAGTTGATTGAGGCTAGGTGATTGGGTGAGTTTAGTTTTAAGCCGCTTTTATTTTTTTTTATTAATTTTATGGCGGATCAGATTTAATGCGGGAGAAAACTCCAAAGTGAAGCAGGCAACATCTATGCTTGTCACTCATTGAAACACATAATGACGAATAGGGGGCTGGCAAATCGAATATCAAAATCAGTGAGAATCTGGGATTCGAACCCACAATCCTGGCACAACTAAGGGCCGAAACTCCGCAATTTGCGGCGTGTAGGGTGTTTCTTGGGCCATTTCACCACTACACACATACCTCGGTGGGACTGACATTGTCTCTTCACTCGAAATATGTTTTCGATATTTTTCAACTTTAATTTGACAATTTCATCTTCAGATTTTCAAATCTGTCAATAATAGCGAGGTTTCAATATGTACTTCCGCGACACTTATGGCATACTCACATAACAACGGTAGCTTGTGTGAACCATCCCTTGCAGTAGAGGCATGCAGCGCTACATTTAATTACTGGGTGTTCTGTGTGTATTTGTGTGTATATATTTGTCACAACCAAGTGCAAATAGGTCCATGTATATAAATTGTACATAATCAAGTTATAATATCATTGTGTATATTGTAGCTCTCATGCCACTGTTTAGGGTCTACAACAAAACAGGTATAGCACTCAAAGCAATAATACACTCTTCAAAACAAGAAACGCACAGGTATGTAGTTCATTGAACCTGACTACACAAAGAATCCGGTATCTAAATTGGATATATTTTATTGGAAAATGTTGGTGGCCTGATATTCCACAAACGGTGCGTCAAAACGCAGCCATTGTCGATTTGCAATGTCTTAAACGGCATTGTTTTCACACTTGTTCAAACATGTCATGGAGGAAAACAGTAAAGCACAATGCACGTGCAAGTTATGGCATTCGTACCTCGTGGTAGTGGCAATAAAAAGGCAAGCATAAGCCAATAATTTGTCATTCAATTGTCAACATTTTTCAAGTTCGATAATGCCGAGACTTAGCGCTGCCGATCGGAACATCGTCATAGGACGTATCCAAAGAGGGGAATCGCAGTCTTTCTGTTGCACGCCACTTCAACATCCACCACAGCACCATGTGTCGCCTTAGGGACCGATACACATAGTTCAATTCCACTGCAGACCATCCGATAACCGGCCGACCAAGAGCTACCACCCCTGCACAGGATCGCTACATTCGACTGTTCCACCTACGTCGTCGCAATACCATAGCTACGGAGACTGCAGGACGCATCCCTGGTTTGAGGAGGATATCGGACCAGACTGTCAGGAACCATCTTCGCGAGGCTGGAATCCGACCCAGAAAACCAGTTATCGTCCCTGTTTTGCAACAGATCCATCGACCGCGACGCTTGCGTTGGTGCCATACCTAACCGCCTGGGAATTTGAGAAACTGGAGACGAGTGTGATTCAGCGATGAATCACGATTTCTTCTTTACCGGCGAGATGGAAGACAACGTGTTTATCGTCGTCGAAATGAGCGTTTTGTCCCACATTGTGTATGTGAATTCGACAAATTCGGTGGCGGTAGTGACATGGTGTGGGGGGCCATATCTTACACAAGGAGATCTGACTTGGTTGTGGTTCAGGGAAATTTGACAACAAATCACTACATGAATCAATTTCTTCGACCTCACCTTCTTCCAATCATTGACCGCCAGAGGGAGCTGTTTCAACAGGCCACCGCACACAGCTCGCGTCACGGTAGACTACCTGCGTAATGCCAACATCAACGGCTTGCCAAGGCCGTCGAGATCTCTAGATCTCAATCCAATCGAACACCTCTTGGATGAACTCGATCGACGTGTACGTCAACGTCAGAAGACGCCGCAGACACTCCCACAACTGGCCAACGCGTTACAAGCAGAATGGTGCAGAATTCCGCAGGACAGAATTCGAACACTTATCCAGTCAGTGCCGAGGAGATGCAGAGCCGTGATTGCTGCCCGGGGCGGTCACACGAGATACTGAGTTCAGCGTAACCTTATGGCCTTATGTGACATGACAATGAACAGTTTTCAATGCTCCAAAATTTCATATTTGTATCTATGATATTAAATTAAATATATCGATTTTGTTAGTAAATTTATTGTACCTAATAATCTACCTGTGCATTTCTTTTTTTGAAGAGTGTATCTGAAATCTGCAAGTCAGCTTGGCCGATTTATGACTTTAAGGTCAGTTACAGGAAATGCCGCTTGGGCAAATATTTCAACGATGTATTGAAACGACTGTGGGTATCAACGACCCACTAGCCTATCTCCCAGAACATAGATTATATTAAATAAAGATTCTGCGGCAAGTCTAAATTGTCTCTGCTCAATCATTGTTCTGGAATCCATTTGGATATTATTATTTTTATTTTGTAGATATATATTTTTAAATTAGTTAACTCTTTTTTTAGACTAAATGTCAGTCTACCGAACCACAAATGGCAAGGGTTATTATTTTTCGGTCATACGCTAATCTAATGCTAATTTTTAAGTAAGGGGTATACTGATCGCTGACACCTGACAGCAGATGGCTACATCCCAGGTTCTAATACATCTCTCGCCTTCCGCGTTGATCACGTGATGTTTATGTGCGCAAATCAATGTTTGTTTGTTTGTTGTTTAACGCCGCACTCAGCAATATTCCAGCTATATGACGGCGGTCTGTAAATAATCGAGTCTGGACCAAACAATCCAGTGATTGACATCACGAGCATCGATCTACGCAACTGGGATGCGATGACATGCATCACTCAAGAAAGCGAGCCTGACCACCCGATCCCGTTAGTCGGCTCTTATGACGAACGTGGGTTGCTGAAGACCAATTCTAACCCGAATTCTTCAAGGGTCTAAAATGAATAGAAGGCCCGCTCTTTTACACAAATTATATCAGTGACGAAGTGGCATTTAGATTGTTTCTTGATTTATAGCTCATGAGCGAGAGAAATTCTGTGCTAAGCTGGTGAGATCACTGAGAAGGGATCTGAAGCTTTGCTGGCGGGATAATCGCGAACGTTGAAGTCATCATTAATTTTGTTAAGATGACAAAATCTAAATACAATTTGATAATATCACCTCTACACACGCACGCACGCACGCACGCACGCACACATCCAAACAAGAGACGTATTCTGATATTTGCACAAATATGCATAATCATCATATTAATTCAAAGCAAATATAGTGTGTGTGTGTGTGTGTGTGTGTGTGTGTGTGTGTGTGTGTGTGTTAATATACATTTTGCTTGCCTGTCCATTAGTAGCTAGAATGCTATTTGGGATGAAAGATTGGTTCTTGATGCTGACGTCCGCTGTGCCATGGGAACTGAAGTCACGTAGACATATAACAGCGCAGAAGATATTGCCATTTCACGCACAAAAGGATCAAAACGACCAAGCAAGAATTGTATTCGGTTGTTTTCTTCCTGGACAATTACCCCTTGGTGACCACCCGTTGAAAAGTTTTATTTTGGTGATTGTTCAAATAATATTGCATTTCATTCTCAAGAGGTTGTAGCTAAAACGACAGCAAGAAAAACCGCACTAGATTGGCGTTAAAAGCACTTTCTTGGAGAGTGTTTGTTGGAGATTAGGATATTGGATTAGATATTGTTCAATCGGCAAATAATGCCTGTAATGAATATATCTATGGTGAATCATAAAATAGTATTTGTTTTCTGTATATATACCAAATAATATATATGACGCCAGCGATATTTCGACATACAACTGGAATATTGCTGAGTTCCGTGGCTTCATTGTTTCAACCTTTCGTTGTGCTGTCGAGGAAAGCAAACGAACATGTGGATATCTATAAATAGACTGTTTACTTTTTTTAACCAATGAAATAAGGAAACAAGTTGAGTGCGGAGCTGTAGTGTTCCTCAACATAACAACTTCCGCTTGTGTTGACTAGACGAATAAGAGGGACTCAAAATGGGGAAGAAACAGCATCAGAAAGATAAACTGTAAGTATAATTGATAAATGACACTAACATTGTCTGTAGAACTACATTATTCTTATTTTAACTTTTACTTGGTTTTCCACACTGAAGATTGCCCACTTTTCCCACTCGGACTATGTCTGTTCATATTTCGATCACACGTTTTTTTTGGCAGGTACCTGACCACCACTGAGTGGAGGAATGAGTGGGGTGGCTACAAAGGGAAACAGAACACGGGGCAAAATGCCAGATTCAGGAGACTACCTTTCCACTGCTGCAGGTATGTGCGTCAAATTTCAAAATGTTTTTGAAGTTCGTTGGGATGCATTTTCTAGGCAAAAGAACACTAATATTGAAGTGAGAGTGATGTCTAAAACCCTGTCATTATGGCATGTATGGAGGTCGAGAGTTACATGATTTTAGGTTAAGGTACATTCTTGTTTATCGTTTTGGTGCATGAGAACAAATGAAGTCGTGTATGGTCACATGTTTTTACATATTAGGATCTACTACGGTTGTGTCTAACTGTGGAGGTTAGGACTAGACATGTTAAACTGGAGCAGATACTTTTATGCATACCATAACCAGTCACCACAAATTCAAGTTAAATATGAAAAAAATGATATTTTCTGTCAAACTTGTAATATTTATTGTAAACATTAATAACATATTCTCTTTCATGTTTCAGTCTGTCTCTGCAGCCATTTGAACATCCACTGTGCACCAAGGAAGGAATAATTTTTGACTTAATGTAAGGTTTGAAAAAGAAACAGATGCCTTATATTCTGATGAATAGTGCCTGTTGGCCATTCTGTTTTATCCTTGACTGACCAGGTTAACATGACAAGCATGGTCAAAGAAAGGTTACAGTACATATACAAACAAGGAATGGCCTATGCTCACACATTCATTATTGTCGATTTGCCAACCCATTTACCAAATAGCTTTGACCCTTCTTTTTAGCTCCATTGTAACAATAAGTGATATCTAAAATCCCAACCTGTTCTTTCGCCATCAGCATTGATATGTGATTGAGCATTATGTCCGGTATTAAATCATGATCTTCATAATGCATGAAAACTTATATCAGTTAGGAATAATCATGATAATAGTGTTAAAATCATTGTTACCAAAATATCAATTTACCAAAGTGTTCTACTGTTATACTTATACCCTCATTGTAGAATACCAGTGTGATTGTTTTATTTCAGGAACATTTATCCCTTCTTGAAGAAGTATGGAGTGAGCCCAGTTACTGGAGAGGTTTGTTCTAATAGGGATAACAAAATTCTCACTATTTACCATATTCAACGTAATAAGTGCCCAGGGTGCTCTCAAAAATTAGAAATAGGGTGCTCTTATTAGAAATTAATTTGTGTGTGAAAGAAAAAAAGAGTTCAAAGATTGTAAATTTCGTGGTTTGATACAAAAGAAAAATCTGTGCGTATTATACATGACAGATATGTTTTCCAGAATTTAATTGCCCATAATAGAGGGTGCGTATTATACACGAATAAATAAGTCTTGTGTACATTGTGTACAAGGGGTGCTAATTGGGATTGTTCACTTGCCAATGTAGTTGCAAATATTGCTTATTACATCGAATATGGTACTTGTATTTGGTCTGTACATACCAAAGGTACTGATAATAAGCTACGTCATCTTAACTTCTTGAATCAGCCCTGGTTTATCTATTTGGGCAAAACAGAGTTATGGTATACACTGAATGGAATTTGAGGTTGGAAATATATTTTGCAACAATATATACCTATGGCTTTGCCACAGAAATGAGTTACTTCCGCTTGTTTTGACAAACTGTTGAAAATATAACGAGTGCTGTAGCAAATTATGGAATAACTTTTGTTTTGAAATATAACCTCAGCAAACCTACATTTTACACCTTTGCTTCTAACTACAAATTCTGGGCTTCAAGTATGAAGTATACGGTTATATATCAAGTATGTGCTTGAGTTGGGTTTAATGCCACTTTTAACAGTATTTAAGTTATATCACAGCATGTCAGTTTAATGTGGGGGGAAAGCCCAAGTGCTACAGGTCTCAGACGTTTACCACTTTGGTAAAACGAACAAGTATGGGTATGGTGCTGACAAACCTGGATACATGATCGGGGCAAATCAGGATTCGAACCAATGATCATACGTTTCTGGCATGCCCAAGGGACGCAACTCTGCACAGGCATTTGCGGCGCTCTAGACGACTGGGCCACCCATTAGGTGGTTATATAATTATTAATTTATTCATAGTTTTCATATACTTTTAATTGTTCTTTATTCAGGTACAGGTAGAGCACATATACACATGATACAAATACATCACAGTGTTGTTATCAGTCTTACATACATTCGACCGCCTCCGTGGTCCTGTGGTACAGCGTCCGCCCGGGGAGCGGATGGTCCGGGGTTCGATCCCCAGCCACGTCATACCAAAAGACGTTGGAAGATGGTACTTGTTGTTACCCGGCATTAAGGGGCTAAAACAAGGACTGGTCATCTTGGAGTCAGTATACTGTGTCTGAGTGGGGTATTCATGTTAAACTGCAGCATGGTATCTCAGTGAGCTAGCACTATAAATTGGCATCAGTCCGGACTAGTACAAGCAGCCACACACATATGTGCATGCACATCGCTATATAAGTGCAATAATCTTGGACGCAACGTTAAACGCAATTTGACCTCACATCTTACATACATTCATAAAACAAACATTTAGGAGGCATTATTGTCATCAAGGCACTGATATTCTTTATATTTATTATTTACAATTTGTACAAAATATGCATTATTTCTCATTAAGATCTTTGAACACCATATGTGAAGATGACCAGAAAGAGTTAAGTTAATTACAGGGTGAATGTGAGTTGTTTTTCGTGATATAATATGCAGAAACATCTCTTTGAATGTGTTTGAAGTACAGCATTGTGGTTTTGATTGAACACTTCTGAATGAATGCTTTACCAGGGAAATAGATGCATTGATAGGATTGTTATTTTTACTGTTGAGTCAAAGAATAATTGCATGGTTTTTGTGTTAGTAATATTAAATCTAATGTTGACAGCATTGTGTTTAAGTATTAGGATTTTGATATTTTTTTGAAAATGGAAATAAAACAAAACATGCGGCAGACTTTATGCTGATACTGGTGGTGCCTGAGAACCAAGACTGTTATTATATTTGGCCTAAATATTTTATTGATTAATTCATTCTGGCATCAGCAAGTCTTCCTTCAAGTGACACATTCCTGCCTGAAGTTGCTAATTCATGTACATGTTCTTGACTTCTGTTTTAAGAAAATGACCTCCAAGGACCTGACCAAGCTGACATTTCATAAGAATGCTAAAGGTAAATCTAATATAGCATGTTGAGCATGTAGTTAAATGCCCCAAACAGTATACTTTGTCTTGATTTTCCTTTCTGCTTCATTCTAACATCTACGTTTCAATGTACTTTATGAGGAGCAGTAAATTGTTTATGATTAGGATTAATTACAATTTTTCTTTGATAGGATAAACAAACGTTTTCAATTTAGACATTTCAAGTGTTTACTGTTATGTACTCAAACAATTATGATAATATTTATATGATACCCAGCTCACTCCAATATGAGACAGACCCATGAAGATCCGAGATAGAATAGGTCTTCAGCAACCCATGCTTGCTGTAAAAGGTGACTATGCTTGTCTTAAGAGGCGACAAACGGGATCAGGTGGTCAGGCTTGCTGACTTGGTTGATGCATGTCATCGATCTCAATTGCGTGGATCGATGCTCATGATATTAATCACTGGATTGTTTGGTACAGACCGTCAATTAGCTTGAATATTGATGAGTGCAGCGTTAAACAACAAACAAACCAACCAACAACCAGTATGAGACAAAGGGTTCTTCTATTGTACATACCATGCATTCCCTGTAAGGATTATTCTGATGGTCTACCCTTGCAGTGTCAAAGCCTTACATACACACCACTATCATGACATCATAATGTTCTCCAGGTAATGATGCCCAAGCATCGAGACACACTACACATGATGTCACCGAGCACATTGATAGAGTAGCATCAAATGTAAAGCAGGGTTAGAAACTAACAGTTTTTGTCCACTAGTCCTTATAATGATAGCTTATAGCAAAACCCTTAAAAAGGGCAAATTTCTACTAGTCCTTATGATATCTTTACAATTGGACAGTTTGTTTGTTTCCTTATAACGCATTGTATATTTGATGTATTCCCCTGTAACACATTGTATATTTGATGTATTCCCATATAACACATTGTTATTAATATATGTATGACTTGTTCCCCTACAGCATGAAGAACAGATTGTATGTTTGATGTGTTCCTCTGTAACAGGATGCATGTTTGTGTTCCTCTGTAACAGGATGCATGTTTGAGTTCCTCTATAACAGGATGCATGTTTGTGTTCCTCTGTAACAGGATGCGTGTTTGATGTGTTCCTCTGTAACCTGATGCATGTTTGTGTTCCTCTGTAACATTATGCATGTTTGTGTTCCTCTGTAACATGATGCATGTTTGTGTTCCTCTGTAACATGATGCATGTTTGTGTTCCTCTGTAACATGATGCATGTTTGTGTTCCTCTGTAACAGGATGTATGTTTGTGTTCCTCTGTAACATGATGCATGTTTGTGTTCCTCTGTAACATGATGCATGTTTGTATTCCAGACCGCTATCACTGCCCAGTCACCTACAGGATATTCAACGAGAACACTCACATCGTGGCCATCAAGACCACAGGCAATGTGTATTCCTATGAGGTATGTCTGTGTACTAGGATCAATTTCCCACATGCATGAGGGCTTCTACAAGTGGTGAAACCATGTGACTCCAAAGTCCTGGTGAAATCAGAATATATATTAGGTTTTGATACAAATGACTGCTGTAAGACCATTTCGCAGATACAGTTACCATAGTTACAGGTTCAGGATTCAGTCCATTTTATCTCCAGACATATGAAATATGGTAAAAGTTATTATTTCACATCACTGACATCACCATGATCACATTGGCAATGCTACAACTAGTCTGAATCCCCACATGGGTACAATATGTGAACCCATTTCTGGTTTCTCCCTCTTTCATATTGCTGTAATATTGCTAATAGTGGCATAAAACCATACTCACTCACTATGTCTGATGTTGTTCTGAAATGGGTTTACTTTTCATTTCAGGCTGTTGAGAGACTGAACCTGAAAGTGGTTTCTCCCTCTTTCATATTGCTGTAATATTGCTAATAGTGGCATAAAACCATACTCACTCACTATGTCTGATGTTGTTCTGAAATGGGTTTACTTTTCATTTCAGGCTGTTGAGAGACTGAACCTGAAAGTGGTTTCTCCCTCTTTCATATTGCTGTAATATTGCTAATAGTGGCATAAAACCATACTCACTCACTATGTCTGATGTTGTTCTGAAATGGGTTTACTTTTCATTTCAGGCTGTTGAGAGACTGAACCTGAAAGTGACCAACCTTCGGGATCTGTTGACCGACGAGTCGTTTACTCGGAGGGACATCCTTACCATCCAGGTATGAAAGCAGTACAAGGAAATGTTTACGTGTACATGATGTATGGGTCTGCAGCATAAGCATTGACCAGCAGACATCCATGAACATATTATTCACTATTTTCTTCGGGGGCACGGTGTACAGAGTTGTGTACCCAAAAATGCCAGAAAGATTGTGAGTTCGAATCCCGGTTTGTGTTATGTGTCAAGGTTTGTCAGCACCATGCCACTGCTTGTGGGTTTCTCCAAAGTGATAAACATAAAGGCCATGATGACTGCAGTGATTTTGCTCCAGACAATGGCATTTGGACATTTTCTTGATTTTATCAACTTTCAATTGGACTCTCTTTTATATCATGACCAAATTTTGAAAAAAATCATAAGGACATTTTGATTGACAATCAGTCAGTGGCCCTTAAACCTATCACACACCCTGAAGACCTGCATCACTTTGGACTTTCCTCTCACATCAAGTTGACACACCGTTATATAAAACTGAAATACTGTTCAAAACTGATTTAACCAAACTCACTCACTTTTGTGAAAAATGTGAAAAGAACTGATGACAACATGTATATGCAGGCCTCAAAGTTTTCAGTTTTATGGCTACAAGTATTTTTCCAGGCAGCCAGTGTTAAAATCAAGACGTCAAGCCAATATTGTAGGTAGCCAAAGGCATTTGAAATTATCTTTTATCAAGTAACTATTTTGATATGTACAGTTATAGCAGTAGCCTTGAAATTGTATATTAGTGGAAACTTCACTTGAATTTTGTTACTTGTGACTGGAACAATGATACAATTTATGTTACTAGATAATATCGGTATATCCCTGCTCCTCCATTGAGCATTGTCAACTGAAATAAAGTACAAACTACAGTAATATTATGTATTTTGGTTCATTGTCAACTTTAGGAGGAATTATTTGCGAGCACAGTTATTAGCGGACGTGTTTTCCAAGATCAGCTGTTATCTATTTTTGTGTCTATGGATGTGTAGCAATAGAATTAAGTTGCCACAAGATATTTTTCAAGGTAGTCATTTGGCTACCGCTGAATTTTAGACACTAGACAAGCTCAAATTTGGGTTGCACTGGCGACCATTTTAGTCGCAACTTTGAGGCCTGATATGGCATCATGTTTCAAGTTAAAACTGTCTAGATGATAATTGTTTTGTGATGACTAACATTTTTAGCTCACCTAAGTGACCTTGGCATCATGGAAAAATTGTGCTTGTCTGGTGTATGTTATCACAATTATTTTACCACTAATTGCCGTGGTATTTGACGATGTGTACCTATGTTGTTTCAGGATCCTACAAACTTGGACAAGTTCAACATGTCAGATTTCTACCACATCAAAAACAACTTGAAAGTTCCTGATGAAGGTGAGGTCATTTAGCAGTGACGTTTTGGTTCATCAACACAACTTAGTTTGAGGAAGTTCTAGATCCTCTGCCATGTCTATTCTTAGAGTGATATACCACCTCCATGATCTAGTGGATAGAGCGTCTTCCCGGAGAGCTGAAGGTCAGTGCCAAGGTCATACCAAGACTTTCAAAGATGCTGTTTGTTGTTACCCTGCCTGGCACTCTGCATAATGGGATAAAACCAGGACTGGTCGGCTTGGAGTCTGTATACTGTGTCTGAGTGGGGTATTCATGTTAAACTGCGGCATTGTATCTCAGTGGGCTAGCACTATTAAAATTAGCATTAGTCCAGACTAGTACAAACAAACGCACATGCACACACACAGCCGTCGCTATGTAAGTGCAATAATCTTGACGGGCCCCATTTCATTTCACCTTATAGTCGGTTAATTCCCTTGCCTCAGGAAGATGGGTTTAGAATTGGTCCCCAGCAACACTCTGCTGGTCAATGGAGGTGGCTTAATGAATCAGGTGGTAAGACTAGGTGACTTAGTTGATGGTGTCACTGTGGATCTGTGCTCATAACATCAGTCACTAGTTTGTCTGAATTAGACTCCGTTATTGACGGAGTGTTGTTGCAGTCATATTGCTGAGTGTGGTAATTAATAACAATCAAACAAACAATGCTACATAGCCACCACCTTCTATTTGTGTTCAGACAGCGAGCTGTCCAAGACTGACCCCAAGTACCGCCTGAAGAACATCAACTCAGAGGCCCGGGATGCGCTTGAAGAACTGGACCGCGACTACAAACCCAAGGATCTCCACCTGCTGGTGGGTTACGAGAGCTGTGATCCTCAGACATGCCAAGAACCTTAGACTACCTATGGAAATGTTCGAATCCCTGTTTTGTCCTGATTATGTCTCTAGGTTTGTCACCTGTGCTTGTGGGTTTCACCAAAGTGTGACCATCTTAAGACCAGCATCACTGTGGCGGGATCGGGTGGTCGGACTCGCTGACTTGGTTGAAGCATGTCATCAATCCCAATTGCGAGGATCGATGCTCAATCACTGGATTGTCTGGTCCAGACTCGATTATTTAGAAACCGCCATCATATAGCTGAAAACAAACAAGCATCACTGTGGGCTTTCCTACCACATCAACCCAATGTGCTGTCATGTAACTGAAATACTGTGGAACGCATGTCACTCACTTACTCACTAAATCACAAGAATTTTGTCTGTACCTATAACATGTATAACAATATAATTTTATACATTGTATTGTTGCACTAGGAATTGTAATGCTTCAATGCTTGTGGTTGATTCGCAAGGACTTAGACTTGGAACAATAGCTACATCATAAGTAATCAGTTCAGTGTATTCTGAAATGAGCAGTTCATCCCTAGGATATGTTGAGTAGTGTGTGTGTGTGTTTACGTGATATATTTTGAATTCTGTTCAAAGTGGCATTCAATGCAACTCACTCACTCTTATCCAACCAATCATCAGATGCAACTTTTGTTTGGTAACCATGGTAACATCATCAGGTTCCACTGGGATGTTGTATTCCCCTGCCAATTATCTACATCCTGAAAGTGTTCAAGTCTTTCAAAATGGCATTTATTTCACTGTTAAGGTTTTTAATCTACTATATCTCACTTCATACTTTGATATTTTCAGGGTATTACAAATGAGCAGAAAGCCAAGGCAGACAAGTTCAATGCCGTAAGTTGACACAGTATTTATATTATTCTCGGCTTTCACTACAGGCTACTTCCATCTGTTTACTGCCTCACTGTAGGGAAGTAACCCCATGAATGCCAAGTTACTAGTAATCATTACCCACGACATTAGCCTGGCTGTGGAGCACACAGGTATATGAGTATGGGTAATAATTGTATTGAGTCATCACAAGGGAAAAGACCTGCTACAGTGATGAAAGCTGTGCTCTACCTCACCTGGAATACCGACTGTGCTTACCATATTTCCTTGAGTATAGTGCACTCTTTTTTTCCAAAAAACACAGTTGTGTAGAGGGGGGTGCGCATTATACACGTCATAATGAGTTTTGATGGTTTTTCCCCCAACTCAATGACACTACCGTGAGCATGTTACACCGGAAATACCATGTCAACAAGTCCGTACTGAAGTATGCAAATTAAACATGTAATTACACTGTCTGGTTATAAAAAGTGTTCATTGTATATCTAGACTTATGTTTGTAACTTGAGTCATTATATTTTATTCAAAATTCCTTTTAATATTGTTTAAATCAATTTCGGCGAAAACATGTGTGAAGTGATCGGAAGATCGCACAACTCATCGTTTTTAACAGCAACCACAGTCAGATTACAGCTATTGACGCCTTGAAATGAACTTTTATTGACAGAGAATGGATACATATATCATAAGTGCCATACTTTGACTCATTAAAAGTCATATTTGTTGTAGTTTGACGATTCTATGTGAACACATAGTTCTCACATGTGCAGGGGCCTTGACGGTACTTGTGCTTATTTTAGCTGACAATGCAGTATGTTATATGTAGTGTATATTTTTGCAGACAAGGCAATATGTTATATGTAGTGTATATTTTTGCAGACAAGGCAATATGTTATATGTAGTGTATATTTTAGCTGACAAGGCAATATGTTAAATGTAGTGTATGTTCTTGCTGACAAGGCAATATGTTAAATGTAGTGTATGTTCTTGCTGACAAGGCAATATGTTATATGTAGTGTATATTTTAGCTGACAAGGCAATATGTTAAATGTAGTGTATGTTCTTGCTGACAAGGCAATATGTTATATGTAGTGTATATTTTAGCTGACAAGGCAATATGTTAAATGTAGTGTATATTTTAGCTGACAAGGCAATATGTTAAATGTAGTGTATGTTCTTGCTGACAAGGCAATATGTTATATGTAGTGTATATTTTAGCTGACAAGGCAATATGTTAAATGTAGTGTATATTTTAGCTGACAAGGCAATATGTTAAATGTAGTGTATGTTCTTGCTGACAAGGCAATATGTTATATGTAGTGTATATTTTAGCTGACAAGGCAATATGTTAAATGTAGTGTATGTTCTTGCTGACAAGGCAATATGTTATATGTAGTGTATATTTTAGCTGACAAGGCAATATGTTAAATGTAGTGTATATTTTAGCTGACAAGGCAATATGTTAAATGTAGTGTATGTTCTTGCTGACAAGGCAACATGTTTTATGTTGTGTATTTTTTTGCTGACAAGGCTATTTGCTAACTTAGCACAACATGTATGTTCTATATCATGTTAATGTTTGCTGACTAGGCATCCTACTCAACTGGGGCAGTATCAGCCTCCTTCACGTCCACTGCAGTGACCCCGCAGACGGAGCAGGAGTCTGGTAAGCTACATCATATTTAGTGGGAAAGAAAGTTTAATATTTTAATTTTACATACATTACTCAGAAGTAAGTGCCAGCAGTCAAACTCTTTGAAAGCACTTTTCCTTGGACTGATGTACATATATTTCAATAAAATCCCCAATTTTCATAGCTTGTCCTGTGTATGCTTTGACTTGTGAGGATCAGGCGATGCAACACTTGCTGAGTGGGGTTTAGTTTCATTAAATCCAAATTTGACACCTGGTAGACTGTAGACTTAGCTTACCTGGTTGAAGACGTAGAACTGTCTTAACATACTTAAAGGCCTTGTGCTCAACATTCTTGAACTCACTTTTTATGCATTTCATCATAAGGGGTGGGTGGTAGGTAGCCCCGTGATTAAAGCGTTTGGTCATCGCGTCAAAGACCCGGGTTCGATTCCCCAGGTGGGTTTAATGTGTGAAGCCCATTTCTGGTGTTCCCCGCTGTGATTTTTTTTTTTTTTCTTTTTTTTTTTTTCTTTTATTGTTTTTAGAAAGACACACCTGTTACATAAATGGGCTTCCGCCCAGGGTAGCAGAAAGCCCATGACATAAAGCACAACTTATCAGTACATCTTACTTTGTTGTTTTTTTTATACAGAAAATAACATACTGGGGGTACTTCTCACTCACACATTCACTCTTGTTTATATATCATATTGCAGTTTAGGAAAGTACATGGTCTCAAACATTAAAATCTTAAGTACAAAACTAAAATTAACCCGCTGTGATATTACTGGAATATTGCTAAAAGTGTAAAACCATACTCACTCACTCACTCACGGAAACCACTGGACTAATTAGTGATCCTCCAACGAGTTACCAACATGATCTGTTTTCAGCTCTGATCCATGAAGACGTCTTGAGATATGAGCGTGTCCGCAAAAAGGGTTACGTGAGGATGGTGACAAGCCACGGCACCCTCAACATAGAGATCTTCTGTGACATGGTGGGCAACTTCTGTGTGTGTTCAAATCTTGAGGTTTTCCTGTCAAGGAAATCCATGTAACCAGTAGATGGAGTCACTCACCCATGTGTACTTTTGAAACCCAAATATGATTGGACACACATTGGTTGAAAATGATGATGGTCTGAAAAAAACCCGTGTGTATTTTGGTTTAATTTTTATGACATGTATAATTGGTCATAGTAAGCTGGATGTATGGATCAGTTTGTTTGTTTGTTTGTTGTTTAACGCCACACTCAGCAATATTTCAGCTATGTGATACCGGTCTGTAAATAATTGAGTCTGGACCAGATATTCCAGTGGTATACATCACAAGCATCGAACCACCCAATTGGTATACGATGCATCAACCAAGTCAGCAGGCCTGACCACCCGATCCCGTTAGTCGCCTCTTACGACGAGCATATTTACAGACTGCCATAAAACGACTGGCAAAATTCCAGAGGGTTTCTTTTTTATCATGATTATCATGATTATCAAATTGATCTTGTCATGGATGTACTGCAGTTGTAGTTTTATTGTGTGTTGTTGTTGTTGCAGGTGCCCAAAACGTGCGAGAACTTCATGCAGCTGTGTGGCAGGGGGTACTACAACGGACTGATATTCCACCGGTCCATCAGGAACTTCATTGTGAGTTGATCATGTGTGTTGTTGGTGTACAGCTCTGCCTAATATATGAAATCTGTTCCAATGGTGGTCAAAAACATTTAACATCTAGTTGCTAGTTGGTTGAAAGTGTTGAACTGTTTCTTTTCAACTGTTACCATGCTTAGTATGGATGGGGATGAAGATGCCATGTTTGTAATGTTGGGTGATGTTCTTCCCCAGGTCCAAGGTGGAGATCCAACCGGCACCGGGAAGGGTGAGTAACAAGTTAACTCTTACACTCTATTGTGTAGATCGCCTCCGTGGTCTTGTGGTAGAGCATCCGCCCGGAGAGCTTGTTGTTACCCTGTCTGGTGCTCAGCACTTGGGGGCTAAAACAAGGACTGGTCAGCTGGGAGTCAGTATACTGTGTCTGAGTGGGGTATTCATGTTAAACTGGTATGGTATCTCAGTGAGCTAGCACTATAAGTCGGCATCAGTCCGGACTAGTACAAGCAGCCACACACACACACGTGCATGCACGTCGCTATATAAGTGCAATAATCTTGGATGTGACGTTAATCCTAATTTCACCTCACCTCACCTATGGTGTAGTTTACTGTCAGAAAAAGACATTTTGTCAAAAAGTATGTTATAAGTTGTAGCAGAGTCATGAGGGGTACATGTGGTTTTATGCATCCCATGTTAGGTTTAATACTATGAGCTTCAGGCCACTGTGCAGCTGTTTGCCTCTAGAAAGTGGTATAAAACCTAACACAGGACGTATAAAACCACATGTACCCCCCGTGATACCACCACAACGATTTTTTCATACAGACAAATTTTATTCTGCCACTGTAAAGGATTAATACAATTTCAAAGTTAATAGAACAGCTGTTCTATTGAGCTGAGGTTAACTTGTGCTATGTCACATGACTTTCATTGACTCGGTAAAAGCGTGCAGCTTTTTGCTTCGAAGCGGGGTAAGAGGGATTTATTCTCCTGCCCCAAAATTCATGTGCAGTCTGTCTTCTTCATGGTGGGGTATAAGGGATTTATTCTCCCACTGAGAAATTTATTTCACTCCCAGGTGGATTCATAGTAGATTATCAAAATCATGTGAAAAATGACATTCTGACATGGAGATATGAATTGTTTTTATGTCAGTGTAGACCAAATATTTCTGAGTCCTGTGATGGGATTCAAACTATCCTGTCTGCAAGCTGACCAGGTATGGATGTAAGCTGTGGATGACTCCATGCCCTGCTACATCCATAGTAGACCTTATTTTGGCTTGAATGAGGTTTGGTTTTATATTTGCATTACGTATGATAACTTTTCTTAAGGAGTAAAATCATATATCCATGTATGCTATGATTTTCTACTTTTATGGACAGACTTTCTACCATGTAGATGTCAGCATTGAGTATTGCTTGTTCACAGTGAGTTTTATGGAGTGAAAGGTGTCACGTTAAGGGAGAGTACTTTTGTCTGCGATACACAGGTGGAGAATCATGCTGGGGTCCTGCCTTCAAGGACGAGTTCAAACCCAACCTGACCCACACAGGCAGAGGGATGCTGAGCATGGCCAACAGCGGGCCCAACACTAACACGTCTCAGTTGTGAGTAGTGTGCAGTGTGCAGTTGACAGTGGCCTAACACTAACAAGTCTTGGTTGTGTGTAGTTGACAGTGGCCCAATACTAACAAGTCTCAGTTCTGTGTAGTTGACAGTGGCCTAACACTAACTAGTCTAGGTTGTGTGTAGTTGACAGTGGCCTAACACTAACAGTTGCCCAACACTAACAAGTCTCAGTTGTGTGTAGTTGACAGTGACCTAACACTAACAGTTGCCCAACACTAACAAGTCTCAGTTGTGTGTAGTTGACAGTGGCCTCACACTAACAAGTCTCAGTTGTGTGTAGTTGACAGTGGCCTAACACTAACAAGTCTCAGTTGTGTGTAGTTGACAGTGGCCTAACACTAACAAGTCTCAGTTGTGTGTAGTTGACAGTGACCTAACACTAACAGTTGCCCAACACTAACAAGTCTCAGTTGTGTGTAGCTGACAGTGACCTAACACTAACAAGTCTCAGTTGTGTGTAGTTGACAGTGACCTAACACTAACAAGTCTCAGTTGTGTATAGTTGACAGTGGCCTAACACTAACAAGTCTCAGTTGTGTGTAGTTGACAGTGACCTAACACTAACAAGTCTCAGTTGTGTGTAGTTGACAGTGGCCTAACACTAACAAGTCTCAGTTGTGTGTAGTTGACAGTGGCCTAACACTAACAAGTCTCAGTTGTGTGTAGTTGACAGTGGCCTAACACTAACAAGTCTCAGTTGTGTGTAGTTGACAGTGGCCTAACACTAACAGTTGCCCAACACTAAAAAGTCTCAGTTGTGTGTAGTTGACAGTGACCTAACACTAACAGTTGCCCAACACTAACAAGTCTCAGTTGTGTGTAGTTGACAGTGGCCTAACACTAACAAGTCTCAGTTGTGTGTAGTTGACAGTGGCCTAACACTAACAAGTCTCAGTTGTGTGTAGTTGACAGTGACCTAACACTAACAGTTGCCCAACACTAACAAGTCTCAGTTGTGTGTAGTTGACAGTGACCTAACACTAACAAGTCTCGGTTGTGTGTAGTTGACAGTGACCTAACACTAACAAGTCTCAGTTGTGTGTAGTTGACAGTGGCCTAACACTAACAAGTCTCAGTTGTGTGTAGTTGACAGTGACCTAACACTAACAAGTCTCAGTTGTGTGTAGTTGACAGTGGCCGAACACTAACAAGTCTCAGTTGTGTGTAGTTGACAGTGACCTAACACTAACAAGTCTCGGTTGTGTGTAGTTGACATTGGCCCAACAAGATGATGAAACATCAGATAGTTATCTTTCTGTGATTAGTGGTGAATTGTCCATGTAGAAATTTAAATATAGTATATATTAAGACCATGCACCGACCACTGAAGATCGAGGTTAGAATAGGTCTTCAGCAACCCATGCTTGCCGTAAAAGGCGACTATGCTTATCATAAGAGGCGACTAACAGGATCAGGTGGTCAGGCTCGCTGACTTGGTTGATGCATGTCATTGTATCCCAATGTCTGGCTCGATGTTCATGATGTCAATCACTGAATTGTCTGGTCCAGACTTGATTATTTACAGACCTCCATCATATGGCTGGAATATTGCTGAGTGCGGCGTTAAAAAACAAACAAACAAACAGACAGACCATGCTCCAACTGCAATGTTTGGTATGTTTCAGCTTCTTCACATATAGGTCCGCCCGACATCTGGATGGTAAACATGCTGTGTTTGGCAAGTGAGTAGCACGTCTGGCTGTGGTGGTCTACTATGTATACTTTAGACTCAGAACCAAGTGTTGAACCCTTTGTGCCAGAAGAGATATGTTCCTTGTATTAGTGTGCCAATGATACTGTTAAAGTCATAATGACATGGTTAAAATAAAACAAGTCATTTCTTAAAGATGAGGGTTGGTGGGGTAGCCTTGTGGTTAAAGTGTTCCCTCGTCATACTGAAGCCCCGGGTTCGATTCCACACATGGGTACAATGTGTGAAGACCATTTCTGGTGTACCCCGCCATGATATAGCTGGAATATTGCTAAAAGGGGCGTAAAACCATACTCACTCACTCTAAAAGATGATGTTTATCACATGACTGCTGTTTTTAGAGCCCAATCACCGAGCAAATACATGGTTAACGACAGTGTGTGAAGCCCATTTCTGGTGTCCCCTGCCGTAATACAGCTGGAATATTGCTAAAAGCGGCGTAAAACCATTCTCACTCACTCATGGTTAATGATGAACTGATGAACAGGTTTCATGAATATTTTGACTCACAACATAAACCTGGCAGTTCAGGAATTGAATTATCAACCCCAATGAACAGGAAGGAGGTAAGCTTTACAGAATATGATTTCTTATTATTTAGGATATGGTGAAATAAACATCACCAAGTTCATAGATGGTTCAAGACCACCTCTGTGGTCTAGTGGTAGAGTGTCTGCCAGGAGAGTTGAAGGTCGGGAGTTCTATCCCTGGACACGACATACCAATAGGTGGTACTTGTTCTTACCCTACCTGGCAATCATCATTTAGGAACTAAAACAAGGTCTGGTGGCTTGAAGTCGGGATGCTGAGTTCAAGTGCAGCATTGTATCTCAGTGGACTAGCACCATTAACATCGGCATTAGTCCGGACTAGTACAAGCAGCCACACTCACACACACATGAGCACATTGGTATATAAGTGGATTGAAATGTATGTTGCCATCGTTACAGGATTGTTGGTGGTTTGGAGACCTTGGACAAAATGGAAGCTATTGAAGTCAACAAACATGACAAACCAAAGGTGAGGACTGGCCGCTGGTCTGGGGACAGCGGAAGGGTCATGGGAAATCCTAGTGTCTGGCCTCCTGGGTTTCACCTATTTGGCGTGATTTCCATCCAAATAATATACCTCTCATAATATTTTTAATTAGCAATATTTGACACAAGATAATTCCTGGTAGTGGGACGATACACTGATCCATCTGTTGATCTTGATGTTTTACTTCTCGATACAAGTGTCGATCACCGTCGCACACTAACTACAAAATATTGATTCTTACCTTAAACGTTTGCTTTAACAACTGTTACACCAAGCACTAATTAGTAGTGAAATTTAGTGGTGTGAAAATGTAAATATTTTCATCCATTGTGCCATACTACACACTGCCAACTGTAAGTCATGAGTGTGCCAGTTATTAGGCCATCCTGTCTATCAAAAAGATGGTTTATGCACCACAGATAAGAGCATATGTAAGTATCATGATACGTATCGGATCACACAGTTGATGTATCGTCCCAGCCCTAATAATTCCATCAATCTGTACTGATTCCTGCCAAACTTGTGAGGGACTGTAACAAAATTGATTGAATAAGTAAAGGCTGGAAGAGCAACATTTTTGCTTTAAGTTTATTTTGTGCACGTTTTGGACTTATAAAAAGATCTATACATAAAGCTAAAATGTGTCAAAAAGATTGTATTTTTTTACTTGTCCTGCATTACTCCTTAATGCATATTACTTGTTTGTTCTTGACACAGAAAAGAGCTGTGTCAAGGTCTTGCTTGAAGAAGTTGTTCCAACTAGCTAAGGGCGGTCGGGTAGCCTAGTGGTTAAAGCGTTTGCTCGTCACGCCGGAGACCCGGGTTCGATTCCCGACATTGGTACATTGTGTGAAGCCTATTTCTGGTGTCCCCCGCTGTGATATTGCTGGAATATTGCTAAAAACAGCATAAAACCATACACACTCACTCACTCACTCCTGCTGAGAGGCCAACCCTATCACGCAGCTCCCACGTGACCAAAGGAAGTGACGTCACGGATCCTCACATTACTCTTGTCACTTGCTGAGTGAAGACCTGTTTTTGATCTGTAGCCTAAAACTTGTTTAAAACTTGCTTCTTAAGTTAATGTTCATTGTGCTTGTGTTGTGCATACAGTTTGTATCTTTGTACATTCTATGTTTTAACTTATGCATAACTTTTTTGACACCTGTTGGCGTTTTCTTAAAAAAGAAAACAATGGTAATCCCAGGTGTCTTGTTACTTCAAGTAGCCATCATGAATATTTTACGTGGCCACACAGTTATGAACTGGCTTACATGCTATATACTTCTTGCTTGGTACCTCAGCCATGCCGTACCTTTGCCAGTATATTGTTTTGTCATTGTATGTTGTCTTACGTTTTTCATAATATTTGTTTCATAAACCCATAGTGGGAAAACAAATTATAGCGTACATAATCGGGCGGGGATGCATTGTGATTTTACACTGCTTCATTGCAGATAACATGCCATCCTGTTCTAAGTGCTGGCGTAATATGTCGGGGTAGGATCCCCACCCTTTGTGCTTTAATTCTACATCTCCTTGCCTCCAGGCTTCTCAATGTAAAGACTGTCTCCCACTTTCCCCCGTAGATTTCAGGCAATACATCCGTGGGTCCCAAAAGCAGAGATCTCAGTAGGCGAGAAAACTCCGGCGTAAGATTTCTGACACTTCCGAGAGTTCTCTTTCTAAGACGTCTGCTGTTGCCATGATGTTGGCGCCCTCAGTCTCTACCCAGAGTACCCTGACAGCGGCGGCCACCACCATGATGCCCGGCGTGGCACTCTCCTACCTGATGGCGCCTGTCCAGTCCACTGGACAGATGCCCTTGGGCTATGGCTTCCAATAGGCATCCCCACCTACATTTCAGCTTCCTATGATGGACACCTCTCTCCTCCAGTTCATCCAGTACTTGCAGGCCATGCAACAGATGCCAAAGCCTTCTGCCTCAGCCTCATCCCCAGCGCCTATACAGATGCCTCTATAAGCGCCGCCCACAGCCCCTATACATGCGTCTCTCCAAGCGCCTATGCAGATGACGCCTATCCACCAGATAGTGCCGCCTCCAGTGCCTCTAAATGTCGCACCTCTCAGTGGCGAGCCTCATCGGACGCCTATACAGACCCCCCCTCTACTATTGGTCGTCGATCTACCGTCTACCTCCCGTTACTCCTTGGACTCTGCTTCGCCCAGTACTTCCTCCCGTCGGAGTGACTGTCGCTCTTCTCCCAAGCCTCAACAATCTGAGAGCCGCACTCCTGTCCATAGACGCTCTAGCTATGATGACACATCCACTGATGGTGAGTCCCACCTTGGGCTAGACCAGGAAGCAGACTGGCTGGCGAACAGACTTGAGGAAGTTGCTCCTTCCCCTAGCCTAGAGATGGATAGTAAGGATGCCATTAGATCGGACCCTACCTCTCTCCCAAGGTTAAAGACATGAAGGCCCTTGAACTCCACGCTACAGACGGAGCGATTATCTGATCCACTCTCTCCAGGTTGTGGACCGCGCCCATGAGTTAGTTGAGGATCTCCACCGCATGACCAGGTTCAACCGTCGCACCTCTGTTCGATATTCCGAGAACAAACTCGCTTATGTGGAAACAGAGATTCGTTGGTCTCTCAAGTAACTCTTACTTTTGGCGTCAACCTCCGGTACCTGTAGGGGGATAATCCACACCAGGACAACATAACTGTCTGGTGTCTTCGGAACAGACATTTCGTTTCTTCCACCTGGTGGATCTATTTCCAGGTCCAACACATTCCGGGCTGTCGCAACGTCGCAATGCAGAACCTCGTTCTGACTTTGGGTGTGCCCTGGTGGCCGGCAGGGGCCTGGTTCGTTGACCTCAGAGAATTAGCCAACACCGACCCGATGTCTTCACGTCTGGTCCATCTACAGAGAGCACTGAATGCTAAAGGTTATTCAGCCATAGCAGCGAAGGCCATCACGATGGCTCATCGCCCGATCCCCAGGAGCCTATACGATGAAGTGGCTATCCTTCGAGAGCTTTTGCAGGGGAATAAGCAAGACACCCACTACTGCATCGCCTTAATTCCTGGCCGAGTTCCTGCTCTATCTTCGCGACAAGTGTAGACTCAAGGGTAGTACCATAACGACTTGCCTTGTGGCACTCAACTCCGTCCTGGCAGTTCTGGGAGATCGGCGCATGGCGAAAATCCCAGAACTACAGGCTCTGCTTCACTCAAGGTGAAATTTTGTCCACCAGATTGGGATCTGAAAATCATTCTCACCTTGTTGGGAGACTCGCTCTTTGAGCCCCTCGACAAGGAGTCTTTCAACTATCTGACAAAAAACACGGTCTTCCCCCTGGGGCTTGCTACCGCTCGTGTCAGTGAGCTACACGCCCTGGATGTCATGCGCGTTCCCTTTGAGCATGGAGCGCATGGAGCAGTTCATCTCGGACAGTTCATGCTGGGACTTTATTGCCAAGAACCAGCTCCCAGGACAGCCCCAAAGATCGTTCCCCATTCCTCCCCATCATTGATTGTGGGTGCGGAAGACGATCAAGAGCTCCTCCTGTGCCCGTTGGGGGATTTACGTTGTTACATCCATCGGTCCAAGGAACGACGCAGACGACACCACCTATTTGTACTGGTATCAGCGACCTCGCGAGCAGAAGTCAGCTGCAACATGATCGCCCTCTGGCTGCGAGCCATCATTTTCCAGGCCTACGAAGTCGGGGGACTGGACCCCCACACTCCAACAACCTGCATGAGATCTGGGCGGTTGCTTCCACCAAGGCACTACACAGCAACTGCTCCCTGCGTACCATCATGGAGGGGTGTTTCTGGCAATCGAACACAGTCTTTGCCACTCACTACCTGTGAGATGTTGCGTTGGAGGATGTGCAAGGCATACACAGTTGGTCCGTAAGTAGTGGCCCACTACTAGACGCCATTGACCTTGCCTCCAGTCCAGAGCCGGCCTCTTGACCTCCCCTGGCTTAAGTGCACTGGAGTGGAAGGTTCATGCCACACCCATACGGCTCGATACGTCAGTCTACACCTTTAACTTGAGTAAGATTATCGTCTATGACTGCATCGTACGTGGACACCCCGCATACCTGACTCTTGGTTCCCAACTACGAATTGGTCATTTGCTGCTGACCACACAGCTGATGATTGGCTGAAAGAAACAGAGTTCTGAGATTAAAGTCGACATCTGCAGGTATGCCCTCCACCGATTCCGTCAGATAAAGATGCATTAAGGAGAAATGCAGGATAAGTAAAAACATTTAGTAAAATCCTGTATTTATATTTGTATACTTATCCTGCATTACTGCATCTAACGAGACCCACCCGTCGCAGAGGTACTTCCCTACGATGCCTTTTGATGTTCCGGACTCCAGAGTAATGTGAGGATCCGTGACGTCACTTCCTTTGGTCACGTGGGAGCTGTGTGATAGGGTTGGCCTCTCAGCTAGTTGGAACAACTACTTCAAGCAAAGACCATCACTCAGCTCTTTTCTCTGTCAAGAACAAGCAGTAATATACATTAAAGACTAATGCAGGATAAGTATACAAATATAAAAAAATATCCAGGATTTTACTAGTTTTGTTCTTATATTTGAACATGAGCAGTTTAAATAAAACTAGGTATCTGGTTATAATTTCATCCTGAGTCACAGACTTTTATGGTTGGATTTTCTCTTGAGGTTTGAAAAGAATGATCCTTTTTCACTCATTTTAGCCATACTTCTGTATTTGATCCTGTCATAACTTGCAAGTGTAAGTGTTAGGCTAGTTGTCAGACATTTCAACATAACCTTTCAGTTCCACCTCTTTTTTGTTTATGTCCTTTGACATTTCTTGTCGTCCAGTTTACAAAAACACTAAATTGTTAATCCTCTTTGTTCCAGGAAGAAATCAAGATTGAGAATGTCATCGTGTTTGTGAACCCGTTTGATGAAGCGGATGAACAGGTATGTCTGAATCTGCATGGAGAAGATGAGGGCAACTGATCAACACAACAATGCAGTGTCCATTCCCATTTCCCATGACCACCTCCGATCACCTTCCCACAACCCATGCTTGCTGTAAGAGTTGACTAACAGGATCGGGTGGTCAGGCTTTCTGACATGGTTGATGCATGTCATCTTATCCCAATTGACTCGATTTACAGACCTCTGTCATATAGCTGGAATAATGCTGACTGTGTCGTTAAACAACAAACAAACAAACAAACAAACAAAATGACCACCTCCGTGGTGTAGTGGATACAGCATTTGCCCGGAGAGCAGCGAGTCTGTGGTTTGATCCCTGGCTTCGTCATTCCAAAAGACATTGAAAGATGGTACTTGTTGTTATCCTGTGCTTGGCATTAAGGGGTTTAAACAAGACCGGTTGGCTCGTAGTCAGTGTCTGTGTATTAGTGGGTATTAATGTCAATCTGTATCTCAGTGGGCTAGCTCTATAAAACCGGCATGTATCTGGACAAGTAGAAGCAGCCACACACAGACAAGACCCGTGAAGATCCGAGGTAGAATAGGTCTTCAGCAACCCATACTTGAGGTAAAAGGCGACTACGCTTGTCGTAAGAGGCGACTAACAGGATCGGGTGGTCAGGCATGGTGACTTGGTTGGTGCATGTCATCGTATCCCAATTGCGTGGATCGATGCTCATGATGTCAATCACTGGAATGTCTGGTGCAGATTTGATTATTTACAGACTGTTGTCATATAGCTGGAATATTGCTGAGTGCGACATTAAACAACAAACAAACAAACAAACAGACAAAAACACACAGACAATCACAATACAACCATAATCCCCTTTTCACCTCACCAGTTTTCTCAATTGCTTGACTGGGGTTGTCATCTCTGCATGTGTAACACGTTAACAAGATGTTCATGAAATAAGAGCTTTTTAAATTAGTATTTGATTAGCAAATGAAATCTTTCCAAGACATTATGTATGTTAAATGTGTTATCTTATAATATGAATTATATATCATATTAGCCTCTCTCTTTCCTGTAAAAGTAAAGCCTATTATTATTTACATCAAACACAAGACTTTGTGTTCATGTGAACATTTCATCTGTGGTAACATCTGGCTAATGAATACAAATATCAGTCTGGATTGTAAGCCATCTGTGTTGCCAGCTGAAGAAAGAAAGAGAAGATGAACTTGAGAAACAGAAGGCAGCAGCAGAAGCAGAGCGGAAGAAGAAGGAACGGAGGAAGATGGAGGAAGAGGGACCACGTGTTTTCAAGAAGGGTGTTGGGAAATACATCAACATGTCAACACTGTGAGTATGGACTTATCAACAGTTTAGGCAGGAGTAACTAGACACATGGCTATATGTGATGAGAGACCCATGAAGATCCGGGGTAGAATAGGTCTTCAGCAACCCATGCTTGCCGTAAAAAGCGACTAAGCTTGTCGTAAGAGGCGACTTACAGGATCAGGTGGTCAGGCTCGCTGACTTGGTTAATGCATGTCATTGAATCCCAATTGCATGGATCGATGCTCATGATGTCAATCACTGGATTGTCTGGTCCAGACTACATTATTTACAGACTGCCGTCATATAGCTGGAATATTGCTGAGCGTGGCGTTAAACAACAAACAAACAAATCATGTGATGAGAACAGGTTAATGTAACTCAGGCAATCAGGATTTCGTGTATACTTGAAAAGACTTGTCTGTCAAAGTTTCTGGTAGAAGAGCTCAATAACTTGTGTCTTTGTAAGGTGGGAATAAAATGTGGATTTGGCAGTCAATTGATTTCTCAAGGCTTGTATGAATTTCCAAAAACTGGCAGATATATATTTCTTTATTATCACATGATGTGTTTCAGTAAGCGAAGTAAGGACGAGGAAGATGCTTCCTCAGAGACAGTCAAGAAGAAGAAGACAAAAGGAGAATACTCATTTGGGGACTTCAGTGCCTGGTGATGCAGCAAGAGTTGTCTCATGCCGTTACAGGGGGCATGTCAGTGATGTCGCAGGAGCCAGGACACCAGGCAGATTACCATGACAGATTCTTACATTCAAGATTCTTTAGATCAGAGTCCCTCAACTTGAAGCTCCAAGTTTTATAAGACCATAATATCTGTCCGTGTTCTGGTTATTTTCAAGGGGGGGAATATGAAGCCATTAATCATGAGTCAAACAGCAAGAATTTCAGCTTTAGTGTCAGTAAGTTGTGTAGATGACCATGTCATTGGTCCCTGAAAATGGAAGTGACTCCATGTCGGATTTAACTGGATTCCTGGCCAGATACGAGGGGCGTTCAATAAGTTTTGCAACTCTAGGCTGTACAGTTAAATCACCCACCCTACAGCCCAGACTTTCTCCCCAGTGACTATTTTCCTTTTCTGGCAAATGAAATCTGCCCTACATGGAAGAAGCTTCCAGGATGACGAGGACATAAAGGCTGCCACAGAGGTGTGGTTAGAGGGCCAATCTGCGGATTTCTATAAAAGTGGTATTAAAAGCTTGAAGGACAAATGGAATAAGTGTATGGAGGTGAATGAAGATTATATTGAAAAATGAAAGTGCAAAAGATATTCTGCGACATTCTCTGCAATATTCTCATATTGAAGTTGCAAAACTTATTGAACGCCCCTCATATATCTTATCCTTGGCACCGGTAATGGGTCACTTCAACTGTTTATATTTTAATCAAGAGCTCAATACATTTCTTGTCAGAATTGTAACTGTAATAATGAACATGTTAGGTTTTGCTGAACAATAACTAAAACAATATGTGTGGTACCTATTTCAGGCATCCCCCAAAAGTGTGGAAAAGTCATGTATATTTTCTCTTTTTACTTTTTCTTTGAAAGTAAAAGCCTTCCTTCAAATAACAATCTCAGATTATTTTGATAGATTTTCAGCCCTGCAGAAGAAAGCTGAAGGATTAAAGATTTTAATATACACTTATTCTGATTGTACTTATAGTCAAGTATTTTCAACACTATGTACGCCATTGTCCATTTGTACATATTTGTCATTCTGTAAATAAACTTGTACATTTTGCACAGCGTCTCTTTCTGTCTTGTCTTTGAATGGCATTTAGAAGTGATACACATAAGGAAGAGAATATATTGATATTACCTTCTTTATTATGAGGAACACAATGTTTTATAGTATATACTTACTCCTTCATCAGGTGTACAAATGCTTTTAAGCGGAGAACAGACATATACCTGTAAGAACGAACAAAAGTAATAATATAACAAAGGTTGAAACTTATCAAGGGAAAATATAACAAAGGTGGAAGCTGAACAAGGAAGCCCTTGTTATGTTTTGAACTTTATCTTTTTACTTTTGTTGTTCTTACAAGTACCTATATATGTCCTCTCTCTGCCTCATAGCATTTATTCACCTGATGGAGTAAGTGTATACTCCTCAATATGTTCCTCAAAATCAAGAGGGGGCACGGGTGGCCCAGTCGTCTAAGGCGCCGTGATTCGCTATGCAGAGTTGCGTCCCCTAGGCATGCCAGAAACCTGTGATTGTGGGTTCAAATCCCGGCTGGCCCCGATTATGTTTCTAGGTTTGTCAGCACCATACCCGTGCACGCGGGTTTCAATGAAGTGAAGTGAGACCTGCATCACTTCGGACTTTCCTCCCACATTAAGCTGACATGCAGTGATATAACTGGAATAATGTTAAAAGCGGCATTAAATCTAACTCACTCACTCACCGAAATGACATCCATAAATTCTCTTCCTCTTTTTGAATCTTGTTGCAGTATAAACTACAACTGCACAACATAATTTGTGGTGTGTAACAAACATTTACTGCACATCTGAACACTCGATGAGTGACGACAGACTGCAAACAGGACAACAGTGGACGTGTTCAATATATTGAACAAGATCAAGGTCAAGAGAAAACTCACTATGTCGTGTGTCCACCGTTAGTATCAACTACTTCCTGGCAAGCTATCCTCCGGCCTGTGGACGAAGGGGCTGTATGTTAGGGAATTGAGCCATGTTTAATTAGCTTGCACATGATAAACATAAATTTCAATCATGGCTTATATACTGGTCTGATTTCAGTGAGTGCAAACCTTGTGTGAGTATGTTTTGTAACAGAGTGGATGAGAAGTATATGAATGAGACTAATTAACAATAAACAATTAATTGAAGTAATTAGTGAGTGTTTGATCTGAGATGGATTAAGCTATTTGACTGATGGAAATCCGACACCCCAAGCATCGCTGATAGGCTCCCCCGGAAGCCTGTAGACCCTTGCACGACCGTCAGAAGTGTCCAGATGTAAAAGTTCACACATCAATGCGATGCATGAAGTTGTTGAATTGGCCAAATCTTGTCACCATTAACCCATTATATTTGAAATCAGTGGTTTATTTGAATTTGAATGATAGTTGTAAAAATTTGAATCGATGCAGCTGTTAATTCTTAAATGTTTCAGAACATTTCACCAGATCTGGGGTAAGTCGAATTCCTGCCAAACCCAAACCTCAAATTTAGCCCAAATTTACAAAATTATTATTTTGAACCATATTAGGATTTGTATAGAAAACGGTTATACATTCATCAGCAATTTCGATTAAAACGTCAGAAAAAACCTAAATGGGATCAGCAACCTGACTGAAACAAACACTTGGGCTTTGTATATTTGTGCATAGAGTTTGAAACAAAGACCAGTTTGCGCTTCGTAAAATTCCTCTTGTTGAAGGTGGACTATCAGATGGATTTACTGTTTAAAGGAGAGTTGGGAAATGTGTCACTTCCACAAAGGTAATTGTGGACTGAATATTATATTTTGTGTGGAAGGGCGACGAATATGGTTCGAACGTCAAAGAATTCAAACAGAATGCAGCTCGAATACTTAGAATGTACTTAGAATGGTACACCAATAAATTTATTTAATATCGAAATAGATTTCGGCAGCAATTGAGATGCATTCGAGGTGCATTCCGGGTCATTCGAGGCGCATTCGGTACATTCTGGCAGGATTTGAAGTGGCTTGGCGTTTCGATTCTCCCTCGAATGCGATCAGAATGTTTTGAATGCTGTTGGAATGCCGTAAGAATATTTAGAATGCAGTCAGAGTGCAGGTAGAATACACTTCGAATGCCGTTCGATATTTCCCCACTTCGAATGCACCTCGAAAGTTTTGAGCATGAGCAAAACATTCGGGCCGGCCACAAGAATGGGCCCGACTATTTGAAATGCACTCAGAATGCAGTCAGAAGTTTTAGAATGCACTTCGAATGTCCAGGAATATACAAAGAATTTTCATTCCGACGGCATTCCGGTTCATTCCGCCTCTAGTATGACTGGGGTTTTATTCATTCGTGACCAACTCGTGTTATTCCGGGACAATCTTCTTGCAGGTTACGGAAAGGGACGAGTGGTGACGAATGGGGTTTTATTCTCCGACTGTCGATGATCAATCCCTGTTCTTTCAGCGATCTGCTGCTCAACCGTGCCAGACTCGTGAAGGCGTGTGGCTGTCGTTGCACGGAGAGAATGAGTCGTCAAAAACCATCAATTCCAGCCATTTCACAAAGACTCCTCACCACGCCGAAGAAGATGGGTCTCCCTCCCCACTGCTACCTGGTAGTGTGACCCGTGAGGATCCGAGTTAGAATTCATCTTCAGCAACACGTGCTTGTAAGAAGAAAATACCAATTACATAAAAAAGTGTCCAAAGTTTCTGTGGCGTTTCAACCACTAGTATTCCTTTTTGCGACATTAAATTCTTAATAAAATAAATAAATCAGCTTTTTGCTTATAAATGCCAATTCCACTTTGGGCCAAAGATCTCAAACATTTTCCCGAAGAGCGGCCGATACAAAATCGGTATTTAACCTTACATCCCAATCGTTTTCTCGGAGGTAATGTTGAATTGAAATAAGGATTTCTTGAATGGAATTTCCATGGTATTCACCCCCTTTCTGCATGGTTCTACACTTCTATCACAAACAATACCAACTGTTTACATACTTTCTCGTCATTGAAAGTGTCAGTACAAAACTTGAATCTATCACCTTTTCGTCATTGTAACATGGATCAAAAACACCAACAGCCCACTGAGACTTTTTTCTCTGTATTTATATTTTTGGACACCTTTTCTAAATCCATGAATTCCTCGTCTGTCGAAGGTTCTCCAAAACGTGAAACATTTGAGCGGTTTGTAAATTCGTTCTCAATTTGTTGAGAATCACGCACAAGGTCTTCGTCAGAGGAACTATTGCCTACTTTTGATTCAGATTTATCGGAATCATATTTATTAACCAAGTCAGATTCAGAAAATTCAAAACCTAATATATGTCTGTTGCATCAAATCATATATCAGCATTTTGAGAGAAATAGCTCTGGGTAAGAAATATATCATCACCAGAGTCGTTGGACATAATCGTGACTGTTGCAACGACAACACACGTGGATCCGCCGCCTTATAAAGGTCTCCAATATCTGAGACATGTGAAATAGGATTATGTAGATAGACTCCTCAAATATAACACCATAACCGTTAGTGACGACGTTTAGTCATCAGCACAAAAAGGTCCATCGGACAAAACATTGTGCACAACTTTTAACATGTTGTCGGAGTCTATTCTATACATAAACTGTTATCAAAAATGAAAACTTCTCGTATTTTTCTTTTAGCATTTACGTAAAGACTTCCCCATATAGGATTATGACCATTTAAGTCACACATGATAATTCAGGGTTGTGGAAGCTGGTCATATGAAGACCAAAGATCAGAGTTCTGACGGCTTGAAGAGTAAAAACAATGTGATGGACAGAAGCAGCTTGAAGATGATAGTGTTAAGATGTACAGGCTTGTGGACTACTCCCTGCCTCACCGCAATAGAAGATCATTCAGTGGCTCGGTCGCCTGGAGGAGAAAATAAATGGTGTTAACAGTACTGACGTAGGTAATATATATCTTATATAAAGCAAGTCTCTTAAAGTAAAAAAGACGGTTGAACATCCATCAGTGATAATTGTAATTGAGTCAAATTGGTCCTAAGAAGACCTCTGCAATTCCACTGAATAAGTAATTGCTCTTGCAGTGGGAGGTGGAGCGAAGGCAATGTACTTTGCCGTGGTCGTGGCATGCGCGATGAGGAGGACTGACAGTCATTGAGTTTCTGGTAAAGCGTTTGAAGTCAGTGACGCCCTGATCATTCAATTCTTTCACCAATTCAATTTTGGTCATTTTAGATAGGTACCATTCTCTGTCCCTGACAATGCTTCTGCTGCTGTTTAGGGATTTGTGAAACTTTCACTTGGGTTATTACAAGATGTTAAATATTTTCAAGTAGATTTGATTGCTTTTTGTTTTTACAGTCTCTCAAAAGAAATCCTGATCTGTATCTTTAACATTTTGCACATCACCCGCAATACCATACATTGTTTTTGACGTTGCGAAAGAAGATAGAAGGAGAGGTTCACCATCAGTAGATGTAACTACTAACAAAATGTTAAATTTCCAACTATAAGGACATAATGAAGTGCCATCCTCTTGA